GACATGCAACCTTCCTTGGGATGGGACAAGCCGGGATGCAGCTGCAGCTTCGGAGAGAACTGGGGGAAATTGGGGCTCTTTGCTGTCATGACGGTGGAGCTGAGCTCCTGGAGCCGGGTGCTGCTGCTCTCCGTGGGGCTGCTGACTGTCTCGGTCACCGGTAAGTGGAATGCAAAAAGCTGGCAACTTTATGAGCGTTTTTCTTCCTGCTCCTTAGATCAAAGGAACACTGTTAATCCTCTTTGGAGGTGGGGGGGGGATGACACTGTGTGTGTGCATACACTTGCGTGGCAGCACATGCTTCCCTGTAGTGTTCAATAAGGAGTATATTTTCTTTAGACCTTTGTAGCTCTGTACAAGATAGTTTCCTTCTGTAGCCCTTGGGAACAACAATTTCAAGCGAAGGGGTAATAGAAGGTGGCTTTATTTGATCCCGTTCCCCTGCTCTGGTGGGTCAAATCACTTGTGCACAGTTGCTGTATGCTATGGAAGATGACTGTGAAAAATGCCATCACGGTTTCTCCCTCTGCCTTTTCCTTGCGTCTTAATTCAGTATTTGTCCATAGCTGATAGAATAGATTTAGAATGCCTTGCATGAAGATGGAAACACTTCTCTCTTACTCCTCCTGCCTTTAAGTTGCTATCTCTTATATGAGCTCTTTGGCCTCAGCATCACGTTTTTTTGTGAAATAGGAGTATATTGACTGGAAAGATAGCAAGAGAAGACTTGAATTTGGGGGGAGTTTGCTTATGGCTCCTCCCTGGTTTTCGCAATTGCCCTTGTAGCAAAAGCATATCTAAGGACTGAAGTTTTTCTGGTGTAAACAGCAAATATTTAGGGACTGTCCTCCTGTGTGTAGGAGGAGGAAGAGTGGGAGAGCTGCATGTTGTCAGTGTCTGCTTTCAGCACGGTGCAGTGCTCCGGTTTCCCGGAGTTTCTAAGTAACATTTGCCTTGTCTGCTGTCTCTAGGCTGGAGGAATGTGTGTTTGTGTGTTGATGTGTGTGAAAGCTTCCTGGGTTTGGGCTTTCTGGGAAAACTTTATCTGGAATGTAACACTGATGCTATGATGTCAGGCAGATCCAGAATAAGTATTAACTGCTCCTCCCGAGGACTCTTGCAGTGGATCTGAAGAGTTTTGCTGACTGGAAGTATCTTATTAGGAAAGAGTATAAAACCATTTAAAAACCTATAGGTCCTAGTGAAGGATCAATATTTGGTGAATACTTTTCCTTTCTTCAGCGGGAACATTTAGCCTTTGCACAAGACAGAAGCATTCCAGCAGCTTCTGTTGTGCTTTTCTGGAACAAGTAGACCGATGCAGAGATACCTAAATACATGATTCACTGTATCAGGGGTTTACAGCTTCTCGTCTTGTAAGCTGCCTGTAGGTTGTTTGTACTAGGTCTTGCAGGCTTCTTTCTGTATGCTTGATCAGGATACAATCCTGTCTTCCCAGGCCCCCAGCTCCCTTCTCTCTGCATTTAGTGCTGCCTGTTCTGGATCCTTCACCCGGAGCTTGGTGCTCAGTGTTTTTCTTTGTGAGCAGATGATCATCTGCAAAAGCTTTTTAGACCTCCGATGTTTATTTGCATCACAGTTGGAGACATTGGTCAGTAGCTCCTCTTTTTAAACACATTCTGCAATCCTGTAACGATCTTTTTGTCAAAGCAAGAAACCAACTTTGAAATCAGTAGCTTAGTGCTTGGTACCCAGATCATAGTCAATGCACATGGGGTGAGTGCACCCGCCTTCTGCAGTGTCCACGGTGGTTTTAGGGTGTAATCCCAGAAGGTAACTTTAGTCTGGGCTTGGGCTTCTCGTACCTTTGTTGAGCAGATGCTGAACCTCCATGGAGCAGAGTTCCTGAGATGCTTCAGTTCTCACCCCGCTTGTTCTTCAGGGTTGGTGTAGGTAGTAATAACCAAGAGTACCCATAGTGTGGCAGTAGAGCTGTATATGTAAAACTACCAGTTAGTAGTTCTGGTTGTCTTCAAAATACAGGGAGAGAAACCGAGCTCGCAGCACATCAGCTGTGCTGTGTCAGTCGTCCTGTTGCCCAGTCATGTCTTCCTAAAACATGGCCCACAAGGATGTGCCTTCTTCAGCTGCTGCTGTGTCTGAAGGCAAGAAATGGAGCTTCTGTTTGTGCCAAGAGCCCACCGAGCTGTAGGGAGGTGGTGGTTTGTGAATGCTGGAGTTCATTGCCTATGAGGGAGAGGAAGTGGCTTGTGTAGTTTCCCCTTTTAGTTTTAAGGGTTTAAGGGCGCAGTAATGGCTTGCAGAGGGCACTGAATTTGGCTGTGAGCTGACAGTGATCATACAATGTGTGTGGTGATTCTGAAATGGTATTTCTTGGTTGTCAGAACGGGTGGGATCAGGAATGGTTTTCCTTTCTGTTCTTTCCTTAGTAATTAGCTATGCATAGGCAGTAGGAGGTGCATATCGGGTATGTATTGGCCAGGTTTGCATGGACATACACATACGCAATGTTTTTGGAAGGCCTATTATAAAGGGGGTCTCGATACCATTATTTACACACTCTGCCTTGCTGGTCAGCATCGTGTTTTGTACTGGGTTATAGAAAGATGCACTGGCTTGAAATAGGCTCTAATCAATTTAAACCCATTGATGGGAGATAGTTTGGGGCAGACTCTTCCTCTGAAGAGGGGAGGAGCAGGAAGCTGTTGATGGATTCTGATGTATGTATTTATGTTGTAAATCATCCTTCTATTTTGTTCTGTTACCTGGAATCTCCACAGGATGAAGAGTGATTCAGGGGCGCTTTCTCTGCCAGGCAGGGAGCTTCAGGGTGAAATACTCAGTGATTTGAGTATATTTTTCTTTTCAAGGGGGGTAAGGGCCTGAGACATGAGCTCTCTGAAGTGGTGGGTAGGTGTGCTTTTGTAGGGGGGAAGTCAATGGTCACCAGCCTGATTACAATTTGATTGTGTCATATGATGGAACAACAATATTTTATGGCAATAGCTGAGCATATCGTTTTGATCTGAGTCCTACTATTGCTGAAGCAGTGGGAATATCGGAGCTAAACTGAATGAATGATTGCCATGTGTACTCATTCATGTCTTGCTCTTGCCTTTTGTTCCTGGGAAGGAGTCGCTTATGGAAAACATTCAGAGGGTACAGCTCTTGGGATCAGGCTGGCTTCTTGGTCCCTGGATTGGGAATGCAGCATTGTGTTGATGTACCTTGTCCTTGATACTGGGAGAAGAGGATACGTCATCTGGACTATAGGTTTTCATCACTTCACACTGGCGTAACATAGGTGATCCTCAGGTGGATGGGAATAGGGCCCAATCCTTCTGTCTGCATTGCCTGTAGATATGATGCTGGGCCACCACTGTGTTAGCTGGAACATTGTCAATATGGTCTCTCATCTCTTGATAGTGGTGTGCACACTGAGTTCTCAGTGAAGAACACCCAAATCCAGCGTGTTTTCTTCCATGGAAGTATGTGCCCATAATGATGGGTAGAGAAGTGGGAAGAGGTAGCTTGGACTCTGCTTCAAGCCTTGGATGTTTGGGTCAATTCGTAGAGTCACAGAATCATTTAGGTTGGAAAAGACCTTTAAGATCTTAGAGTCCTACTGTTAACCCAGCACTGCCAAGTCCCCCATGCTGTGGTACCAGCTTGCTGTGGCATCAGAGGCAAATCACTGCACTTCTGCCTCCCTCTTCTTTGTGGTCATCGAGTTTGTCATTCCAGGTGCTTTGCTGTGCAACTGTTTGTTGTACTGTCATGCTGAGATTTAGTCATTTGTTTTGGCCTGGGCTCTCGGTGCTGCTGCAGAATACCTGAGCTCCGGGTGTCCTGGCCATGGAGCTTGGTCTCTGCCGGGTCAGGTACCTCCGAGGGGAATTCTGCCTGCAGCTGGTTGGTGGTTCTGGCTGAGCCAGTCTGCAGGGGCTCGGAGGGGGATGTCTGCTCAGCTGATCCTCCACTTGTCTGCGAGGTTCTGTCAGAAGAAGGCGCTTGTCAGAATGGGTGTGGGGAATGTGGTCCAGGCGATCTGCCATAGAGCCCTGTGGATATGCTTTTGCCGGGGTGGTTTAGGGCTCAGGGTGCAGTTGAGCTGTTACCAGGTGATCGTAGCATCCCTGCAGTAGAGAATACATTTTCTTGTGCAGAAGTGACTGCTATTAAGCTGATTTTAGGGACAAGTGTAGACTAGGTCTTCCCCCCAGGTTGCTGTTAACCACATGTGCTCCAGGGATCTGCGATGCTGGATTTCTGCATGGTGCCCGCTGCCTTGCTCTGCTTCCCCAGAGACCCGCTGGGAGACGTCAAATTTCACAGCTGTACTTGTGTTCCTGCTGCTGCCCCCCCCACTCCCACTTAAATTTGGCATGGATCTTGACCAGAGGAAGAGGTTATGATGATGTTGATGGTTAGACAAGTTTTGGGGAAGGTCGGGCAGCCAAAATCCATAACGCTGTCTGTAACAATCCAGCCAGTGCAGTGAGGCACTTCTGCAGAGTGGCCTGGAGAGAGTCTCGTCTTTATACTGCTTCCATCAGGGGCAGCGAAGCCCTGAGCTACTTTTCTCATAGGAGATCCTCTCTGGACATGCAAAGGATGTTCCCAGATCTAGACCAGTACTGGATTAGGACTTAAGGGTTTTTAGGACTATGCAGCTAACCTTTTGACCTTTCTCTGCAACACACACTTGAGAGGCATATTGTACAGGTGTAGCATGTATAGAGGTTTTGGGGGGAAAGCTGCAATAGATGTTGTATAATCCTCCTTTCCTATAGTATTACATGAAAAGTCTGAACTCCGTTTTTATCAGAAGTGTCCCGAGACATAGGGCTGGGGCGATTTTTCATATGCTGTAGTGAGATCATGACAAAGCTGTGTTCAGCTGAGTGGATTTTGAATGCTTCTTCTCAACTAGCCTTCATGTTCCCAGGTACTGGGAGGTTCAGAAATACCATGAATAGGCCTAGATTTGAATTAGCCTTTTTCCCAACAAAGTGTAGCGAATTCAAATGGAAGGGGAAAGATGGCACTTTAAGGGCTACAAAAAAGAAATACTGAGTAACAAAGCTTCTGTACTGCTTGGATTGGTGAGTCCAGCATTGAGTTGGGTGTTTGACACATCCAGCAGGCAACAGTGGCAGAGGTGGTGTACTCATGTGT